AGGTGACCTTGGGTCATATATATATCAAAGAATAAATAAAATGGCACCAAACAAAAAAAAAATAATAAGACTAGACAATTAGTTAAATTAAATTAATTTGGATTTCACACTATGCGTTATTTCAAAATAAGAGCTCCATTTCTCACGTCTAATGTATGTAAATTACTATGGTGTCATCGTTTCTCAGGTAATTTATCTGTTTTCCTAAGGGCTTGTATTAAATATCCATGACGAAGCACTAATATGATTAAGGTCCCAACGTTCCCGGATTCGGCGAAATGTTGACGGGCTATTAATTAAAATTTAATATCGAGACTTAAAGCGAACTCATTCATATAATTAAAATGGATATGAAATTCAAAATATTAAAAAATCATAAATATGTTATATTATAAGCTTGTGTTTCAGTCGCTGGATATTAATTATTTTTGAAGCAAATATGCATTCAATCTCTCAACAAAATATTTCAAAATTCTAAGCAACATTCAATTATGATATAACGAGTTTTATAAAATTCTCCACTATATTGTCCAAGTTTAACGTCTGCATCAGACACATATTGAAACATATTGAACCAGAGATCCCCTCTGCATTATTTTTACTAATTGCGGTTTTACTCAAATTAAATTTTCCACAACCTTCCTATGTTCTCTGTGGTACTTCGCTGATAGCTTGTTGTGCAATGCTTTCGTCTAATCCATATTTTCATTTAATTCTTGGTCTTCGTTTTATCTTTACTTGTTTGTAATGAAATTAAGTAAATTTATACATTAATCTTTTAACATGTACCTTTATTCTTTATATAGAAGTGAGGTTGTTCTTGTTTAATTCCTTTTTAAATTTTTATCACATGTCTATAACACTGCAATCATCAACCCTTCTCGTTTTCTTCCCGCATCAATTTTAATTTAAGTAATGCTGCATTTTCTTGTCCTATTTAAGAGGGTTTTCCGCATGAAATGAATTGATCCCGCTAGAATAAGGAGGATTTTATGCTCAAATGTTCGCTGAACGCTATATAGTAAAGCTAGAGACAGAGGTTAGAAAAAAACTTTGAACGTAGCGAGGTCACTGCTTTGATCACTATGGAATGCTCAAAGGTATTTGATTCGATTTTCCAATCAGCTTATCGATCTCGATTGTCCAAAACAATTATTTTCTTTCTTGAAATCGTTTCTAAGCCAACTTTTCTTATCAGTAGACGTAGGAAATGAGAAATCAAACACAGCTAGTCAATTGTGGCATATCTCAAGGTGTAGTTTTATCCCTAGTTCTTTTTATATTATTTACTGCGAAAATAGTGGGTACCAAACACTAAAATGATCCTGTGACTATATTCGCTGATGACAAAGCTGTTTACAGTTGCAGTATGAATGTCAAAACAGTTAGCCAGCAGGCAGAAAGAAGTTTGCCAATAAATGGTAGAAAGAAAAAATCTTAATATGTATGTTAATAGTCAAGACATTATATTTTCATTCCGAAGTTGAATAAAGAAAGTTCCAAATGAATCCAGACTTAACAATGGAAATATTAAAGTATCGAAAAAACTTGGTACTTCTCGCTATACATTTTAACTTAGAATTTACTGGACATTCCAACAGAATAATTATAGCACTAAGATCTGAAAGGCACATACGCCTAAATATAATTGAGACCACCCGCGAATGCTTCTGATTTATACAACCATTACTCTCCCGACTGTGTGGTATAAAGCTGTTTGATAATGCCAGTAAAAAAGCTGGGAACAGGTTGCAATGTTTTCAGAATGAAATAATTGAGAAAATAATGAGAGGGGCTTCCATGCAAATAATCAAAACACTGTGTGGGCAGTCAGCACTAAATCTTCTAACAGACAGAGAACGTATCACTAAGGACATGAAATAACTTTTATGAGACTCAATCAAGCAAGAGCTATCTTTAGCAAGCTGATACCAGAAAACATTTCAAAGGATTATTTTTTTTTAATTGTTAGAGCTAGATTGTAAATTCAAATCAAAGTCGTGAGATCGACAGTTACGGAATGGACTTAATCCGTAACAACTATTAATATTAATTTTTATTTAATTTAATCGTTTAATCATTCATTGACCTTTCTCATGACCTTTCTCAAAGCCCTAGATAGCCAGATTAAGCTATCTCTGATAGCTTAGAAATAGTTATCTAGAATGTACTGACTGGACAGAAGGCACTCATCAAGACTTAGGGAACATTAACCGTTTTCAACAAACAAGCACTTTCTCACAGACTTAATATAAATTCTAAAAGATAAGGATATCAATTCTTAATAGTTGATAACTTCATTCACACGCTTCCTAGACCGACCAGAATTGATTCATCCCCCCTACTATTCCTGAGCATATAACCCCTATGATCCTCAAAATCACTTATTCAGTTGCATTCTTGAGTCCGACTCTTCACTGTAGGAGACCTGGAGTGAACTGATGTAGTCAACTCATAAATCCATACTATATTACTTATATTATATTTTAGATGCCACTTGTAACATTATGAATAAAAGCATTATTTATAGTCTCCACTGTCTCCGATTCGTTAACTGACGATAATATATCAGATTAGTATGTAATTCACAGAAATAACAAAAATAGCCCTTTCAATTATTTTTAGCAGTAAAAGGATTTTCAATTGTGCAGACAATTATTTCAGAACTCAGGCAAACATATAAAAGGGCCTATGTAAAAAAACAACAACTCCTAAATATATGATTATACATTATTTTCTCATTAAAACGCTTGCTATTATTTACTTCCTCATTAGAATTGTGGCTAAATGTTAAGCACTGGAAACTTCTGGATTTCCGCATTACCTTCTACGAGTAGAGGAAAATGCTTGGTTTGGAGTTTCGTGGGTGAATATTAATATTGTGTATAGATATGAATGCTTTAAAAAAATATTTGTTTCCAAAATTTTACTTCAAAAGTGTATATTTATAATTTCCTTTTATGTTATTATAATTTAGTATCATCATTATGTTTTTAATTGTTAGTTTTTATTTATATATACATTATAATTATTTCTCTTCTGTATGGAATCAACATATGTAGTTATAATTTTTGTTGCCCTTCAATATGATAGATTGCATAATTATTCAGTATACTAGACTGAAACGACGAGAAACCGCTCGACGTTTCTGATTACTTCAGCACTTACTAGACAAACGCTCTAAACTTCCAATTAATTACAAAAGACTCATATACATGACTATAATAAAGCCTATTTGGACTAACGGAGTTGAGCTATGGGGGTCCACTAAACCATCGAATTCCTCTCGTATCCAATCCTTCTCAAATAAATTCTTATAAATATATTGACATAACATACAGGCAGCTGACGGCCGTGGTGTTGCTTGGTCCGTGGGCTGTTGAAGTTACCGGTGAGGGTCACGGCGCCGTGCCCTTTGATAATCCCGATTTTCTCAATGAAGAGTGGTTCGAATCTGGGGATGTTCACCTCCGGGATACCTGTATACATTTTTTCGATAAATACGTATCTTATACACTAATGTGGAAACCATAATTTCACGAACTATAAGTTACCTTTGGCCATATATGGGAACATACCCTGGAACGTACTTCGGATGCATTCGTTGAGATTCGGATCTTTTCGTTTGCACGGTGTTTTCAACCATTCTGCTGAAAATATAAAAATAATATTAGTTAATATTATTAAGAAAATATTCAATTAGATTAACTTAAAATAAATTCAAATTATGGAATTTTTTATTGTTTCTATCATAGTAACTGGTTCATATAACTATTATTATGCAGTAATCGTTTTATGTTTTTTATTTTTATTGTTATTCATGTTTTGTGAAAAACATTCTAAACCTTAAGTATTGTAATTTTTATTTATATTTAAATTATACGTATGTAAATTTGTAAAACCATATTATTGTACAATAGGCAAGCTAGGCTCTATTTGTATGGGAAACCCCCTAAAACAAATAAAATATCTATGTATCTATCTATCAGTTATATACAATATTTACAAACATTCATTCAGGAGTACTCCTTGAGCTATGGGGCTCCACCAAACCTTCAAATTCCTCTCGCATCCAATCCTTACAATCCAAAATCCTTCCTAAAATCATCAATGCTCCCTGCTTTGTTAGAAATAAAACCATCCATAATGACCTTAATGTTTCTTTTGTTTCAGATCTGGCCCAATCCAGATACCTACCCTTCCATTATAAAACTTCAGAATCATCCCAACCCTCTCGTTTCTAGCCTTGCTTCCTCTTCAATTCCTGATAACCCTCCGAGGCGTCTGAAAAGAAGATGGTCCCGTAATCTCCTAGTGTAGACATGTCATTAGAGTCCTACCATTGGGTAGTTACTCAGCAAATGTTTTCATGTCATTATATCAATATGTTCAAATTTACTAGATGTACTTTTTTTATAAAGTTGTAAATATCATTAAGAATTAAAAAAAAAATCAGTAAAGAATATAAAAAAATAGTTATATTCTCCATTTTTCTTGTTACTTTTAATTCTTGTTTTCTTATTTTATTTTAATTTTTTTTCAATCACTCTCTATTCTATTTTAGTCCCGAGGTTGGTCCATATTTTTAGGCCGAAACATGGCCTCGTAATAAAAATTTTAATTATTACGATTTCACTTAGGCTAATTCCAACAATACATCATCGTTATATTATTCAGGTTTGTAATTAAGAGAGTTATGAGGGTCGGCAGGAATTTCTGGCAAGGTAGGTCTAAAACATCCGTAAAGCAGTTCATAATATGACGTAAATACTGGAGAGGAAGTGATGATATAAATTTTCATGAGATATACAAGCGGATGAATAAGAGATGATGCCATAAATGTAGGGGCAAGGTGGAAGACAATCCTTCCCTAAACCGAGGGCTCATCAGGCTGACAATAATATGGAGGAGGATTGTAGGGACGAGGCCAGCAATATTTAATTAGGAAGGGCGGCTAGCCTTGCTACCTGGAGCGCTCCCATAGAAAACTGTATCCTGCATTATTCAACTTGGGAGCCGTCCTCGTAATTTCCCAAAGGGAACATCTCTCCAGTCTTACTAGACCGGGTCTCAAGACCTCTTTCTTGTCTAGTTCTTACTAGGCTGTAACTTCCTCCTGAAGAACATATTATAATAGGGATTTATAAACATTCATTCATACATATCAACTCATTATCAATTATAATAGCAACAATATATATTTTATACTATTTACCGCTCATTTACGCCTAAATGAAAAATACATCTCTGTTCTCTAACCATAGTTTAACACGGGCTGTTACGTCATTGGTGAAATTCGATAACTTCATATCCCAATAGTTATTTTGTTTTATTTAATAATGGCATAGATAAATTTTTAGGTATCCTATTAAAAGACATTCGAATTGTGTCAAATGTAGTTAACTTATTTTCTCATCAGTTTTCAACTTAAGTAGTTAGGCCAGGGACCATAGATTTTATCTGGCAATATCTTAGACAAGTGAATAAAAGAAAGAATTTAATCCTTTTAAATTCATTTTTTTTCGATTATTCTCTACCTGACTGTTCATAATTAGCCAGAGCATACGGGGATTGTTCTAAAGATACAACCAAACCTATTCCAACCAGAGTGGGAAGGCCGTAATCCATTCTCTGAATCCTACAAGAAATAAATTTCAACTCACCCAGCCCGGATTCGAACCAGCTTTGTTATACTCAAGAATGTTTAAGCGGACAACGCCTTACCACGCTCGGCCGTAACGACTTATTCCACTTTTTTTTACTACAAGGATGAGCTCGAAATAGTCCCGGAATATTTAATGAGGTGGCGTAGAGCTTGAGTTATACCTGAGTACTCTGCAACGAATCAAATTGGGTCCACCACTCTATGAAACAAAGCGTTCCATTTTCTAGTAGTAGTCCTTTTACCCAAATATTTATCGGTATTCAATTCAATGAGAGATAGTACTTTATTAGTAAAGTAATTTGTCATGATAAATCCAATAGCGAAAAGCTTTTGGTGAGGGGACAAAAAATTAGTCATTATTTTTTATAATTCCTATATTTTTTCTCTTCCACCTTTATCCACACCTGTCATAATCTTGGCAATAAGCAGACATGATATCATTATAGAGAAAATTGGCATTTTCGGCATGAGGAAGAATAGTACCCAGCAGCACCTCTTTCTGGTCTTGGTTTACCTTAAATCAGGAAAGGAGAGCTCTCATCCAGCTTCTCTTTAGTCGTCTTCTGATGGGCATGTCAGCTGTGGCCATGTCGTTGATAAACTCATTGTGATGCCGTGCAGTTTAAGATGAAATTGGGATGGTTGTAATTCGGTACGTAAAGTTTTAATGTTTACGTACCAGAGAGCTGATATTATTAGTCTTGAAATTTTGGACTGAAATTATTTTAATTGTAATGTGTTAATGTCTTTAATGAAGGTATATATTTTTTCATGCGTCCGAATAAAATTTTTGGAAATCTTGCTTTCATAATACCATACATTGATTTATATTGTTCATTTTTTTCAATTGTTGAATTTATAGAAATTCATCGACATAAAATATGTAAATCCAAAAATACTACTAATGATCTAAAAAAAAATCATTTTAAAACCTTACGGGTAAAGTGTTTAGCCAATGTTTAAATTATATAGAAAAATCACTTTTTTATGTGTTTTTGGATTCACTTTTTTTCCTGTGTAGGAAAATCATTTCTCATACCTACAAATTCGCAAAATGGGCATCGCGAATTTCGCTGGAACATAAACAATAGATAGGACTAATTTGAGTAGCTGGAAATGTGTTCGGGACCCAATTTCAGTACTATAGAAAAGAATGTCGAGATTCAACTCATGCTATTTTTGGACTTCCGAACCCGACTCCAGCTATACCACCTCTTCACCAATTGTTCCTCCTAAATAGACGGAAAGAATCAGACTCAAGGATCCTGTCAGTCCTTCCATTAAGCCCTGGATCCTAATGTTACGCAAATTGACTCATCGCAGTCATCTGACCATGAAAAAAGTTATAACTGGATGACCTTATAGATTGATGTTACGAAAATGAGATTCAATAAGATTTTCTTTTAATAAATAATATTATTATTAATAGATTAATAGTCATTTCTCGAAGCTCAATCCGACCCAACTCATTTATTAATTTATCATTCTTTATTTTTTTATTTCACAATCGTTCTTCCATTTTGTTAAATTTATACGTTATATAAATCCGGAAATAATTTCATTGGATATAAATGACGAAGAAATTGTTGAGCTGATGTATAGATCATTTTCAATGAGTTCGATGTGGAACCGGCTTTTGATCGAGTCTGGCATGCAGTTTTACTGTACAAACTCCGTCAATTCCTGCCCCTTAAATATTTCCTATTAATCCGCTCTTATCTTACAGATAGAACCTTTAAAGTAAATTGTAACTCTGCTTATTCATCTCTCTTTTCCCAGTCCGCTGATGTTACTCAAGGGAGCATCTTAGGTCCCATCCTTTACACAGTATATACAGCTGATATCCCTGCCTATCCTTCAACCGTCCTCACTACCTATGCTGATGACACGTGTGTATTGTCTGTCAATAATGAACCAACTATTGAATCACAAACCCAGCAGTAAAACATTTCAGCCATTGAAAAATGGTGTGCAAATTGGAGAATTAAAATTAATCCAAACAAATCCCAACAAATTGATTTTATCCTTCGCCGTAAACCTACAACATCCTGTCCCACCGTATCCTTTAATAATATTTCACTGATACCTGTCGAACAGGTCCGTTATCTAAGACTCCTTCTTGACAAACGCCGTACCTGGAATCCTCACACTAGACTTAAAAGACAAGAAACTGCCAACAGGTTCTGACTACTACAACACTTACTTGACAAACGTTCTAAACTTCCAATATTCTACAAAATCTCATTTACACTACCATCATCAGGCCCATTTGGACATACGGTATTACGCTTTGGGGCTCTACGAAAACATCAAAATCTTTTCGTATCCAATCCTTACAATCCAAAATTCTCCGTAAAATCCTAAATGCTCCTCATTATGTAACAAATAAAATTTTCCATAAAGACCTCAACATTCCTCTCGTAGAAGACTTATCCCGAAGTAGATATTCCTCTTTTCATTCCAAACTCTTTGGTAACCCCAATTCTCTAATTTGAAACCTTTCATCCAACACAATTCCTGACAATCCTCCGAGGCGTCTGAAAAGATGGCCATGGGACCTCCTAAATTAATTTATCTTTTAAGTGTTACCAATGGGTATCTTCTTCACAAGTACCTTCATATTATATATTCCTATAGCAAATTTACTGGTTGAATATATGTTTACAGTTGTAAATTATAATAAAATATAAATATAATATTAAATAAAAGGGTGTTATTATCCTATTCACAAAAAGCTAAATATTTTTAATTAGTTCAGATTGTTGATATGAGATGTGCTATTTATCGTTGAATATAAAGGATAGAACATGTTCTTCGACCCATTACGAGCGGGAAGCTGAGGCCGTGGAAGCAGTATCATTAGCGAACCGATACAGAGGCCATTACTGTAAACAGGAGGGCTGAGAGAGCGGGACCCCTATTATCCGGGAAACATCAAGTCCGTTCCAGGTGAAGGGCTCCTTTGGGATCGATAGCCCTTTACTGTCCTTCCACGGCCTAGTTGATATTCCTCATGTAACCACTGACCCACAAGGAATATATAATTATGGATGGATGTCCTCACGTCACAGAATGGATTAGAGACGTTCGCTATTAGCCTAATTGGCAGAGGTAAAACTAGATCGGGGGAGGCGTTTCTTTTGTAGACCAACGATTGGTATTCAACCCCTAGCTCCCATGCCTTACCACTTAATGGGTTAACTTTAAATGATGTCATTTGGTAAAACTCAGACATAGCTGGGAGAAGTTTTATAGGGGAGCCGTACCCTCCAATATCCATTGAAAATTCATGCAAAATAGAAAAAGTAGTTTATATTTCGTTTCATGATGCAGTGATATTGAACTGAAATTAGATTTTTATTATTATTATTCATTTATTGAAATTTTGCAATTGTATAAGTAAATAAAACACGTAAATGTGTTATAAGAATATAAAATATGAAAGGATCTTGTGAAGAATCTTCTCATTTGGAGCACTTCAATAATTAGATTAATTTAATAGGTCTCTTGTCCATCTTCAAACACCTTGTTGGATTGTTAGAAATTGTTTTGAGTGAATGGTCGAGGTGTTCGGGTGATCAACTAAAAGAGGAATATTTAATTTGCACAATTTTGCACCAAAATGGGATCTTTATGAATAATATTATTTGTAACATGATTAGGGGTGATTTAGGCAGAATTTTGGACTTTTTTAATTATTTTTTTTATTGAATATCAATACATTCAGCCACATTAAAGGGCAAGCGCCAGGAAGACCTCCAGATTCTGAAAGCTAGGCCGAAAGAAGAAGGAAGAAGATAAAACAGAAGAACTATATATGTGCATATCTAGTAGTAGTGTGTTATTAAGTATTATGCCTAAAACACACTATTGCAAACACCCGTATTGCCATTGTGGCATGGGAGGGTGGAAATAAATAAATAAATAAGGCTACATGAATTATTCACACAATATATACATACAAATAATAACTAAGATAGAATTTAGGATTGTAAGGATTGGATAAGGGAAAATTCGATAATATTGTGAAGCACCAAAGCTCAATTTATTATGTCCAAAAGGGACTGATGACGGTTTTGTATATGCGGTTTTTTTTTTTAGAACAATGGAAGTTTAGAGCGTTTTTCAAGTAAATATTGTACTAATCGGAATCTACGAAAAGTTTCTTTTAATTTTGTCTTGTATGGGAATTCCAAATAAGACGTTTCTCAAGATGTAGATTTAAGTGACGGATTTGCTCGACATGGAAAAGTGGAGTTTATTGTTAAAGAATACTCTAGGACAAGATGAAGTAGGATTACAACGAAGAGCAAATGTTTTTTTTTGTTATTATTTATTTTGATTCTCTAGTTTTGACATCATTCTCCAATGGCCAAAAAAATAGTACAAAAAATGTAATTTCGTAAAACTTTTAGAAAGAGTTCGAATAACATTTTATATTTACATTTCGATTTAATACTTCCAAAATAGATTCAGATTGTACCAATCTTCATGGCATCTGTGCTGTAATAGAGCAGCAGATCAGAGCTTGATTGGAAGGATTCCTGGCCAATAAACAATCGGTATTCAATTAGATCCGTCCAATCAACCAGTGAATGAGCCTAGAGGAGATGAAATAGTTCAGATGAAATAGGTCATGTCAGAGCCATCACTATTCTACAATCAAAGTCCAAAAACTACATCACATTAAACATTGTTCGAATCGTTGCCAAGCACAACCATGGAGTTCAGACATTTTAGCTTCTTCTGTCCGATTGTGGAGATATGCTCCGTCTATATTAGTCTACAACTGCGATCGAATTACTTCGTATGAATCTTTTGGTATACCGAGGTTACGCCGAATTCTCTTATAAGCCTCAAGATTGAGGGATTAGGTTTCCGATCATAGCGAAAACCAAGATAAAAGATTGAGTTACAATGATGCAAAAAGTTTGAAGTGATAAAAATAACCTTTATTTGTACATACAATGCAAAAACACACGCACCTACATATATATATTCACACAAAACTTTATATTTTCATTTATACCTGATATTCCGATATTTACATAAAAAACGTTTTATTTCAGCTTTTTACTTCGATTATTTTCTAGCCTTCTTACAACCACACTAAGTAATGAACCTGTCCAGTCCGTTTCCACTATTTCCTCTCTAATGCTACTCTCTTCCAGGATGCTCCCCCGCAGGTCTTCTTCATCTTCTTTTCCCAGTCTGTCGGCGGGCGCGCTCTCTTCCTCACGTGCTCTCTTGGATACCAATCCATAAACTGCATGGTCCATGTTATATCATTCCTCCTGATGACATGTGCGGTCCAGGTCAAGTTACTGATTCACACCTCATCTGATTATTTTGATATATCGATATTATGCCGGATCCTCTTATACGCCACAAGATTGAGGGATTAGATTTTCGATCTTCGCGAAAAGTAAGATAAAAGATTGAGTTATAAAGATAAGAACAGTTCGAAGTGATTAAGGTCCAGCCAATTTATTTCTGGATGTAGAAATCTCAGCGCTTTGTCGACGAAGCAGACTTAATAAACTATTCAGGCAGGGATTGTTAGCTAAAATAAACCTGTAAAGATTGAACCCGAACCGATCGGAGGGAATCGTCTGAGTAATCGATTGACGGAGATAAAGGCGTCGATACGAGATAAGGGAAGAGAGATGGGATAAAATATTCAAAGGCCATCTATCTCCAGCGAGGTTAAATGCTTTAAGAGGCAGCCCCCACTTGCCCCTCCCCTCCCCCTCCCGTTCCCTGAATTATAAAGTCCCGGTAGTAGCTGCCTGGCCTAGGAGAGTGACAGGGCCCGTATTGCCCCTGATCAATTACACAGGATCAAGGAGTACGGGGAAACTTCATTAATGTACAATGACAGCAATGCTAACGTCGAGACAGGACTTGGGGAAAACAGCGAAATCGGATCAAGTAATTTAAAATTAATTATAATGTTCTGTGAGATTGCAGTAGACAGCTGCAAATGAATATTTAAAGCATCCACCTCTCCCACCAAAAAAGAAAAACAATATATATAATGTTGGAGAAATAGTAGAATATTGAAAACATAACTGGGAAGTTCGTGGGGGTTTGCATTCTAATAAAAAAAAAACTTTATTTTTTAAAATACACTGTATTTCGATTACGAAGTGTTTACATTGATTTCAGAAAAAAGTATATCAAATATAAAATACCATAAGTATTTTTTGTTTTTATTACAAAAAAATTAATACAAATACAAAACACTTATGTCACATTTAGTAAGAATTTTACAACTAATTCCTTAAACAACAGGTTTAGTATCGTGAGAAAAGGTTTTGAGAATAGAATACAGTGAATATACTTTTAAAATAATTAATTATTTGGAAAAAAATATGTTATTCAATCAACATTATTTACACTTCGACGAGAAACGAGCCCACCAGTTTATGTAGGAGAGAACCAAATTCCTCAGACTAGCACAGTACGTTGCCTTGGACTAATATTCGATGGAAGGATGACCTGGGGCCCACATCTCAAAATGAAACAACAGATTTTAAATAAGCGACTGAAAATACTGTACTAACCTTTTCTAAATCGAAATAGAAAGTTCGACAAAAACTAAACATACACTTATCTTCTCAAACCCATCTGGACTTACACCTCACAGATTTACGGTTCGGCGAAAAAGAATCACTTACAAAAACTACAGTCATTTCAACCCAAAATTTTACGACTTACAACAGGATGTTCCATGGTATGTCAACAACAAAACTTTACACAACGACTTAAGACAACCAACTATCGACCAACACATACTTACTCTTTACTCTCGTTTTCATCTCAATCTACACGGATACACAAACACTTATAAAAGACATGGCCACGACTTATATGATCATCAGAAGGAGACAAAAAAGGAGCTGGATGAGAGATCTTCTCACCTAAATCAAGGAAGTAAACAATGACTAGGGAGAGGAGCTGCTGGGTACTACCTTCCTCATTCCTATAATGTCAATCCTTATTTTATCTCAACACCTCTGCTGATTGTCAATACCATGACATGTGCGGACACATACTCAAAAAAACTAAACATTATTTCTGAACAATTTTTTATAAAAATGAAGCTTTGTCGAATTATTTCATTTTTTATATTTTCTATGATATGGCTTGTATTGATTCTTTATATTTTCTTTACTAATAAGTACTTAAACAAAATATCAAAGATAAAAAGGCATGCTTTTTTTTCAACTAAACATAAATCAACCAATATGTTGTAAACCAATCGTAAATATGTCAATGATTATACAAATAACAATGCTAAAAAGTTAACTTAAGAATATTAGATATGATTGTGAATTGAAAATTGTTTTTATAATTTTACCACTTCTTCCGTCGAATTAAAACGCAAAGTAAACTAATAATGAATAACTGCAATAAAGATAATCCAGTTGTTATTGAGACTGGTTAAAAGAAATTCATCTTAAGAAATTCTACATGTTTCGATGTTATTTTAGGTATCACTGTCAATTTATTAATAATATTTGGTGCTTATTACCTCATTAATATCCCAAAACTTTTTTTTTCTATAGCGAAAGTGAGTAATAATATTACAAATAAATCAATTAAATATCACGTAATGTTTAGGCTCTACTTGATTAGGCCAAAGAGAAATTAATGAATAGCCTTTTGTTATTATTAAACAAACCTCAGGAGAGTTCCTTTAAACGCAAAATCGGTCTTCTATATAAAAAAATATTAAGTTTCAGATTTATTTTACTACAGGCCCGAGAGTTTTTCAACCATATTGAAGTTCCCTATCAAAAATTGAATAAATACTAATAATTATAATTGAAAATTAGCAGTGTTTACTTAGAATGGCTCGACTAGTCGAAACGTCGTAGTAGGATTGTTGAAATGAAAAAATCGGTGTAATGTTGGCTTATATAAAAAACTAGGAACGGAATAAATCAAAAAACTTTATTTCTTTATTTAACAAAGTATGCTCTTCTATCCTTTTCTATAAAAAAGGGCTTGGAAGGCTGTATAATTTTATTTTATCTTTATGACTAATAAATATTACTGCCAAAGATAACTGTAAAGTTTAAAGTTAGGTTACTAATTCAACCCACTTGACCTTAAAAAATCTCTAGGATAGATTTTCACAAAGGATTATTCTCTTTCAAAGCATCAACTATGTACAGACAGTACTTAAGGGTTTTATTCTGCCGCAAATAATTTAGTTAGGCGTAATTAGTGACCTGAAAAGAAAATACAAATACAAATTTCGTATTTCAAAAGATAACAAATTTTTTTTATTATGCATTTATTTTGTAGTACCTACAACATTATATCTACTTTCGAGGGATTTTTGCAGATTCCTAGTCATGAGAAAAAGTTACTGAAGAATAATAAGATAAAAACCAAAGAAAGGCATCGCAATATTACACGCAATATTTTAACTCCATTTGTTATAAAAGAAATGACTTTCCATTTTTCAACCCTGCTAAGCCTAAAAGGCATATCTCATTACTCTTTTTTTTCCAGCTTAGAAATATTTGTTGCTACCTGACTTTCCTCTAAGGGAGGAGGTCACATCTTATTTACAAATAACAGAAAATTAATGAAGAAATAAATCTGTCACGAAAATTGGCAGCATCTCATTTTCGTGTATTTATTAGAGGGTGATTATATGCGACATCAATTATCCCCGCACCCAATGCGAACTCCCATTTGAATTTTGAATAATTGAATAGGCCCACAGTGTCTTACCACTTGTTGACCTTATACCCTTTTATTCCTATCAACTATTGTTGATCCTAACCATCCTTCCCCATTTCCTATCCATATCTATCCACCGCTGCCTTGCGGGCTAGAACACAGTTCAAAGGCTAAGGGAGTTAACCCCTACAGAAAAATCCTGGTCTTCCAAGACTGGGTGTTAATAGGGATAACAACCCTATACCGTCAAAAATACCATTGCTATTGAACCAGAAACAAGAAAATAGTCGGATGGATCTACGGTTACGACAATCTCAAGGAAAAGGACTACTAAACGTGGCAACTTGGAATGAACGTTTTTACCAGCCTGGAGCTAGCAAAGTACTAGAGAGAGAGCTGCAGAGGTATAAAACGGACGTTGTGGCATTACATGAGATTAGGTGGAATGCGACGGAAATATTAAATCTCAAGGAATACATAGCGATTAACAGCGGTACTGCAGGGAGAAATAACTAGTTCATCATTAAAACAACATACAATTTTCTACCAAAAGCAAAAATAATATTACTTGGATTTTTAATTTAAAGAGTTTTATTGCACTTTAAACCTAATACAGTAAATTTGAATTTACCAGCTACAAATACAAGTAAAAATTGTTTAAATATCTCTCCAAATATCCTAATATAATGTATATTTAATATAATACATATTAGGTTTTAATAAATGTATTAGGATTATATTTAATATAAATCTTCAAATTAAAAAACCCAGTAATATTATTTTTGCTTTTGTGTAGAAAATTTTATGTTGTTTTCATTAATATATGATTGTATTGGGGTAACTGAAGAGATATTTTAGCTACAAGTAGTTTTCTATATTTTTATCACAACATAGAAAATTTATGTTTAAGAGTTTTTTTATACATAAAGAAAAATTATAATTCTAAGACTCATGGTATCAGATACAGTATTAAAGTTATGGCAAACGAATACGTTTTGAAAGCTCTTGATATATAAATATTTGTTTTACGAAGGAAAGAATAACTGGTATATACTGGTTTTTAGCACAAAATATCTTCCCAACATAAAATATTTTAAAAGTTTAAATGCCCATAATTCTGAAAATAGTCGTTATGATTTGGCAATTTTTCTTACATGTATATTTACAATTTTTCATTAAGATCTGAGGGGGTGGGTTACAAATTGAACTTTTTCTGGACGATTTGTAATGGAATGATTCAGAGGGCTTTCTTGAGATTACTATGAAAGAAGGAAAAATAGAAAATAAAATACATTTTGTTACAAGTCAATGTATAATTTTATAGAATTTCCAAGTGGTCGAAACCAACTCACCGAAATATGACTTGTTTCGGGTAAATCTCATCTCAAATAAATGTATTTACGTCATCTACCTATCTATCTATCTATAGGTTTATTTATGTTATCTTAATGTATATATGTTATATCTTACATGAATGTATTATTTCAATGTATGTACACTCACCACTACACTGAGTTAAAGTGGCTCTTCTCCTACATTCGAAGACAATATTTCCTAGGTACGTTCCTTTATCAAATCA